ACCATTTCTGTGGTGGGTGACAATGACCAAAGATCTACATATAACATCTAAATATTAACGCTGAATGAAATAACAAACCCGCGATACTCATAACCTAACTAAACTCGGTGAGGATCAAATTCCCTTGAGTCTATAAGACTAACTTGCTAACCATTACCATGGGGCCATATAGTTTTCATTTTTTATTTCCTTCTGAGTCCCAGATACACTGCCATCTTTGTTTACATACACTAGTATTACTAGTAGCAATATTATTTAAATTTTTATATGAAGCTTTGTCAGACAAGGATTACGTCATATCACGCTTTCGGGGAAAATAAAAGGTAAAAGATCTATGGTTAGATTTGAGCTTCTGTAACCGATAGTCTCCATGGCCTAATCGGTAAGGACAGACAGTGTTCCTAAGGAAACAGGATGAGAATTCAAATCTCGTTGGAAGGTTTCCGATTTTCACAGGTGATTAATAATCGTAGAATGAGTCTGAAATGTGAAAAAATAACGGAATTATATATATATATATATATATATATATATATATATAGAGAGAGAGAGAGAGAGAGAGAGAGAGATGCTGAGTATACCATGGACCGAACATGTGAACAACGACAAAGTTTTAGAGAGAATGGAAATAAAAATTCAAATTGAAAATCATTCAACTGAAATCAGCGGCGGACTTATTCTTAATATCACTCATAACTGATACTTAATCTTATTTTCTTTATTCATTTCTCAGTTTTACCCATAATTCCTGTCAGTTTTATGTATATATATATATATATATATATATATATATATATAAACTGACAGGAATATATATATATATATATATATATATATATATATAAAACTGACAGGAATTATGGGTAAAACTGAGAAAGTGAATAAAGAAAATGAATAAATGATTTCAGTTGAACGATTTTCAATTTGAATTTTATTTCCATTCTTCTTAAAACTTTGTCGTTGTTCACATGTTCGGTCCATGGTATCCTCAGCATCTTTCTGTAGAACCACATTTCTGTTGCTTCAGGTTTCTTCCTCATCTCTGAAGAGATTGTTCATCATTCGCTGTCATACAGTAGGACAGATATCACGTAACAGTTCAGTACTCTTTTCATTGCTTATAACGAAATTTATCTTTAAGGACCCATTCCAAGCCTCGATTAGCTCCGCATCTAGTGTCGCTTCCGCCCGAGGCTTATCTGAAGTGAACTGTTTAATATATTGAAGAGTAAACAGTATTAAGTTAATCTCAAGGTTGGTCAACCGCTTACTTCCAACAACTATGTCCCATTATTTCGCTGTTGCTAAAAATCATACCTATCCGCCAAGGCCGCAGGTTATTTCCAATAATCAAATACTATGCACCTACCAACTTGTTCCAGTCTACAGTCCAAATATTTTAAATGAGTATAAATTCGACCATTCTCACTTAAATTATCTATATATAAAATTTTGTGAATTCCCTTAGTCCGTTCGTCCGTCACATACTCTAAAATACAGATCGAAACCAAATTTTAGGGAGAGGTGCAAACAGGTAAGTGGGGTACAAAGTACAGTTAGTTTTACTAGGTTGCGTAGTCGAGTACAATAAATGTTCATTAATTTTTATGGAAAAGTTTTATTATTTAACATACAAAATACTACTACTATTTTAAAGACAATTTAATAATTTAAATAACAAATACATAATAAAAATGCAATATTGCTTTTTGCATATCTTTTCCGTTTTTATATACATGAATCCACTTTGGCCTACGTTTGCGAGAACTATAAACAAATCATAAGGCCAAACGCTTCAAGAAGTTGGAATTTGGCTCCAGAAGGAAATTCTATGTTGCATGCTTAAGAGTAAGAAATCCTAAGAATTTATTCTTCGCTGTTCAAAAGCAAAAAAAAGAAATATACTTAAAAAATATTGTTTACCATGAAGTCCTATAAAATCTATCTATATAGAATTATGTGAATTCCATTAGTCCGTCCGTCCATCCCACCCTCTAAAATGGTCATACATTGATCAATCGAAACCAAATTTTGTGGGGATGTGCAAACAGGTAAGGGGGTACAAAGTACAGTTAGTCTTATTAGGGTACGTAGCTTAGTACAGTAAATTTTCAGTAATTTGGGGGGAAAAATTAAAAAAATTATTATTTAACATACGAGATACTCCCATTATTTACTATATACTTATTTAATAACAATGCAATATTGTTTTTTGCATATCATTTTTTAAGTTTTTATATTTCATCGATTGGTTTGCGGAATTAAACGCAACTTGGAGTTTGTTAATATCGACAAAATGTTAGCGACAACGTCAACAATACTAAATACTGTGATGATTTCAACACATTAATGTGTGTTAAAAAATTCTAGTATCTAGATAATTCGAGAGGGTGTTAACTCTGCATTCACATTCACATTTCCCGATTCGGATAATTAGCTTAGAATCTCTCAGCGAGAAAGAAATTATTGATCTCATTGGTGATGTTTCGATCCAATGAAAAGGGTTAGCAGGCTTGATCGCTTTTATTTCTATCTATCTTGCGCTCAGTGATGGAATTTCAGTTCCCTAATATCGCTCGTCGTTTGAAAGGTCACACACAATCGCTACAATACCAAAAATCGCTGTTCAACAAAACCGAATACGATCAACCGGACCAATATTGCAAGATCAATTTCCACACTAGAATATCTACCAACTACCCCACGTGATCAGATGTGGTACAAGGCCGAATTTAATGTGGGATATCCGAGTCCGTAGGCTCGGCCAAAAATTCCCTGTAGACCCCGTATAAAACGGGATCGAGTAGCTGTTTCCCGAGAAGAGACTCTGCCCTTCGACATGGCCTCGTCTGGGGATCCTCTCTGCCAGGAGGCGGAGAGTTTGACCAGCACAGCTGGAGACGAATCTCCGACTGAAGACCAACATATTTACTACTGTATTTATGTGAATTTCCACACTAAGGTGAACGCTTTATTAGCAAAGCGATGCACACGCCATTCAGCAGGACATAACTCTCCTTAACAATAAACTCATGCCCTCAAAGGGACTTAAGGTCATGTAGCAAGTGGGCCTTTTTACAAGTCTTTCAAGCTCTTACCATTTATACCAATCAAGGTGAATGTTATCTCTCTAAGTGCCGACAGTGGGCCCGGAATGTTTAGTAAATTAGCTAGCAATCTGTAATTCAACTAACGATATCGAGACGAATAATAGTTTAAAGCACAGTATAAAAATAGGAAAGCATACACGAGGATCTTTCTTGAACAATTAGTCCTCAGAATCTAGGGTATAGTTTCTCAATAGGTGTGCCTGGGCACACTAATGCTCCCTGAAAGGAAGCCAGGTGCACACCAAGTTAACAGAAGAGTCATTTATGAATTATTTTTGTATTTAAAATTTTTTTTTTAAAGCTAGAGACACCAAGCACATGGCTTCTATGTCAAGTCTTTGTTATTTGATATTTTAAGCTAAATGCTAAATTCCTTAATCTTTAAGAAGGAGTGTATAATCACTTCCTTTTTGCGTTCCGCAAGGGATTTCAATCAGTCATTATCGTCCCTACCCCCCCCCCCCAAATTTTCTTCATAAATGCCTTTAATTGAAAACTGTACCGCTAATCTTCTTTGAGAATGCTAAACCAAAAATGATAACCATTGAAGGTAATTTCCTTCTTTGCCAAATGACAACAAGCACAGGTTTCACACAAACGTACTTAAATATTGTTGTAACCTAGGGAAGGTTACTGAATAGAATAATCAAAGGTTGGTAATGAACGATAATACTTAGGACAAGAACAACACATATAAGATTCGTCTGCCTGGAGGCGGAGAGTTTGACCAGCACAGCTGTAGACGAATCTCCGACTGCAGATCAACATACAGTATCTACTACTGTATTTGTGTGAATGGCGAGATACTCATTATTGTCCGTAGGTATGCTACAACAAATATACAATGCGATGTCTTAAAAATAAATGCTTAATTCACGAGACATTCTGTTTTAAAATTTCATGACTAATTTAATCCTTATTAAAATGTAGAGTGCACCTCAGAATTATTCTACAGGTGCGACTTGAAATAAAAATCGTTTGAGAAACAGTGATCTAAAGTGAGCGAAATCTGCCAACCTGAAACTCATGAATGCTTCTGTAACTACTGATATATATTTCCCGTCGCTTGTTCTATTGACTGTGACGATGATATGCGCATGGGGACAAATCCTTGGAGGTCGCCAGTGTACTTACCAGTTAATTGCCGTGGTGTTTTAATGGCCACTACAATGTAGACTAGAAGATCTAATCGACAAACGTTCTTCTTGCTAAATAGTTTTCGCTTAATCTTCCTTACCAAAACTTTTCTTTATTCTCTTGAGAGCAGGGTATTCTTCAAGGAATCGGAGGCATAGTTTTGTGGCATTTCGTTCACAGCTTGATTTTACTAATGAGTCAGAATTGGCAATGTCAGGCTTTGGATGCGATATCGGTTGAAGTGGCAGTGGCTTGACTCAGCTTAATCCGTTTATTATTTTCTCTCACTTCCTCATTACTTTGAGTTTGTTCGACGCTCAAGAGGGTGGTGATTAATGACACACCTGCAAGCACTTGTTTGGCGGGAGGAGGTCTGTAGATCAGGGGAAGACTTGCCTGTAATTCTATATTTGCAGCTGATTTCTCAGTAGACCGTAACACTATTTTTCTTGATTCGATAGAGGGATAGATTGTTTTCTGGTGTTCGGGTTGACGTTAGTTTTTCTCTTTATCTTTCTGAATTACTTTCGTTCATACCAACAGAAGAGCGACAACTTGTACGATAAAGTATGCTGGTGCCTTTACCACTCGGATTTGCAGCTAAAGTTTTGGATATGTGTTTGCAAGGCGACCAAGCTGTTGGCAAAGCCAACAATGAAATAATGAGATGCCAACTATAACCGGCATCTGTTGTATACGTTACAGTAAATATCCAGGATGACGTTGAAATTTTGTTTATCGACGAGGAGCCAGATGGCGTTTTTTTTTTTTTTCACTACTTGCATTCAATCGACTGACATCGTCTCCTCGACCCAACCCGACCCGATCGGCTCTTGTAAAGAAGGCTACCAGGTGATCATATCTGAAAAAAAAAGTTGTACGCATTGATTTGTAGTTAATACAGTATTTAGCCTCCTCACAACGTATGAAAAATATCACTAAAAAAATGTGTAATAAAATTATAATAAGTTATTAATAAGTTATGGTAGGGATATTAAGGAGAAACAAATCAATCTGTAATAATCAAACAAAGTTTCTAACGAATTTTACCTTTCTTAATATACTCGCTTTTAAAACTGGACAACGTGACTGCAGAATCTAGGATAGGGGATAGGCATAGAAATGTTTGGCCAGTATTAAAACGTGTTTAGTGTTTGCATTCAAGCAATTCTTCCGTTTCCTCCCCTTATTCTTCGTTTCGTTACCCTCCGCTCGAGTTGTTGAGTAAGTGAGAGATTTTTTGAAAGCATTTCACCCCAAGCAAGGCGAGAGTGCCACTAGCACGCAAGGGGCTACAGAGCGTAGACAACAAGAGTAAAGAGGCGTGTTCGGGGAGAGGATAAAAAGAAGGACGGGGAACAAGATCAAGGTATCTGAAGATGTCGATTGACATTACACCTGAATATTTGAAGATTATAGTTATCAGGGAAGCAAGTAAGAGGAAGAGAATTCCACAGGCGGGAGGTGCGAGAGAAGAAGCTGTTGGAGTAGAAGAGATGGTTACATTTAACCGACAATGAAAGGGTGCGACCGAGATGCTAACCTAGTAGAGCGCTTAAATTCATGCAGTCTGGGAACTAGAGAAAGCAACTCGTCGGAACAATAGTAGAAAAGACAGAGAGAAGTCACGACACGTCTTTGAGAAAGCGACTGTAGACTAGATGCCCGATCAGGACCTATCACATATATGTTATAAAACATAAAACAAACAGTATCACATCGAACTTTTTCGAATGAGATTAAAATAATAGGTAGAACCTTCCTAGAGAATATATAAAGTGGAGAAGGTTGAATACATGGACCCCCCTCCCCCCAAAAAACCCGACTTTATGAGTAAATCCAGTATAGATTTCAGTACTGCATACGAACTCATGCGTTAGGAAAGCAAAAAACACCGAGAAATACCACACCTGAGCGTCATGAGAAAATAACTGTTATGGGGTCCTCCCCTTTTTCATATAAGTGGACTCGACCAGAGTGTTACTTGGACTGCTGCCGTTAAATACAGAGTCAATCAGAATATAGGGAGATTGACAGAGAGATAGAGAGTGAGCAGAGATTGTGATTGAGTTGGAGGTAGAGTAATAGTGTGAGGTAAATCAGTTACAAGCACGTAGACTCTAAGGAAGTCCTACTTCGAGACTGTATATATATATTATTATTACGACTAACCGCGTTCCTGGATTTACTAACAATATACCCAATGTATTATTGTGTAAATACATTTAATTTCTTATCCTTAATTCTTGCGTTTGTCATTCATTGGAGACCGAATTTCATCTCGGAATCCACAACAATAACTATATGTGGTGACATGTAATTGAATTTTTTACTTGTAGAGTACCTCTGTCTTCAGGAATATCAGACAACCTCACCGAGAACTAAGTATCAGAGAAAAAAAAATACTTGATGAATTATACACCCGAGGAAAGCTGAAGAACGCATCGACTGAGACGTAGTAATAAAATCAGCCACTCGTAGAATAGTGAAAATGACTCATTTTAGTTTAGTCTGGAACAAGATCCCATTAATTAGGTACCTATAAATGAAAGAACTTACTATCAATGGCCGGCGAGAATAACAAACTGGTCATCTCTCTCCAGTATGCGCCCATTATTCTACCAATGAATCACAACAATTGGGCACACAATGGAAACGGAATTGATTACACCAACAACGATCTTTGGGACAAGCCTCTTAAGTATCGTTCTAATCTTAGTCAGGTGCTCTGATATTTATTAAGCTAAGTTTATTCTTGCACAGAATCAATTTTTGAATAGTTGAATTAAGGTATCAATTCATTACACTACGGGTACATGTGTCGACAACCCCAATGTTTCCAGATTAGTCTACTTTTAAAAGCACAGCGCTACTGAATTTTGAATTTCCCTACATGCAACTTTTGTGGCCACCTTTCAATATAAACTGGCGTAATTTGGGCTACGAACAAGAAAAAGTCAGTTCTAAATTGCGTAGGGTTAGGCTTTCAGATGTAGTTCAATTTTCTAATTGTAGCCCAATTTGGCAACCCTGAGTGTGCGGATTGGCATTCAATTAAACACGGAATCTATCTATCTATCTATCTATCTATCTATCTATCTATCTATCTATCTATCTATCTATCTATCTCATGTTGTCTGTCTGTGTGTCTGTCGGGGCCGTTGTTACCTCGCGCAGGCCGCATTTCTCACCCGATCTCGATGCGGTTTTCAACACAAGTTTGCAAATGGCTGCCGTAAGGACATGACAGAGCCCGATTTTTGAGTTCGAATCAGGTTCCGAAAAATCGATAATCGAAAAAATTCTGCTTACAGAAGGAATGATCGCATTTCAACCAAATTTGACACCCCTCTTAGAGTCCATCCATTAGAAGTGTTGTCCAGAAGTTTCATGACCACGGACCCCTAAACAGCGCGGAAAATCGATAAAGCCCAAAAACCGATACGCATGTCGGTTTTTATCGAAAACCGAGCGGATTTATGAAGAGGCCATTGGGAGTCATCATGTGAAGTTTCAACTCTGAGCACCCCCCCCCAAACAGAGTGCAAATCGACAATCGGTCAACCCTTAAAAATGTTTTTTTTCCGGTTTTTTAAAGCTGATCGTATTGTGTTTGTTTTGTTTAATTCTTTTTTCGTAACAGATTTAATGTTTACTATAGAGCTTAGAAAAAGTTGGCAGTGTGATATAGGCAAGAAGTAAGGCATGTAACAACATCAGCACGGCAAAGGGCACTCCTCTAAAGGCAAGGAAGGGCAAAAATATTTTAAGTCAAGTGATAGCGATTGCTGTATTAGTCGTACTATTTTTGGATCAAGCACGGGCAACGCCGGGCCATGCTGCTAGTTTATTATATTTATAATAATGCGTGTTAATGCTTTCGCAATAAAATAGGTATTAACCAACTGATTTTGGTAAACGTTTTCAGGTTATATTTATTAATATACACTGACGCATGAAGACTCATGAAACCGGTGCCTAGTATCGTGTAGGACAGCTCGTAACCGGGCAAAGAGCAGCAACCCGATGTAACACCAATTTTACAAGTGGTCGGAAGACATCTGGAGAGATGTTGAACCATGTTGTCTCGTTCGTTGTTCACCTAACATTTATAAATGTATGCGAATAGACTTCTTCACCATGTACCATAAATCTTCAATTGGGCTCGTCGAGTGTACGTGGGGACCACAACATTTTTCGGAAGTCTCTAGAATACTAATTCTGGTCAACTTGAGCAACCGATGACAATGGTGCTGGATTAACTCATTGTTATTAGGATATATGAAATCTATGAATGTGTGCAAATGATCACAAAGCAATGCAACATAGTGGTCACTGGTTAGGCGTGTTTAGGCGGACCAGCGAACTCAACTCATGCCAGGGGAATACACCCCACACCATTATAGAACTACTACTAGACTTCACGAAATCAACGCATAGCCTACCTGGCGGGCATGAGCAAGTGGATGGCTGAACATAGTTTAGGAGATATAACAAAAAGAAAGAAAAAACTTTCTAAGAGCTCCAAAGGACAGGAGATTATAGAGAGCCATGATCGCACACGCCCCGAAGGGACATGGTACATATAAAAAGAAGACTAGACTTTACGGTGCCATATTGACAACTCGGGTCTATAGACTTATAGGATCTGCGCCATATTCAAATCTTTCAATTAGTCCAGTTTGAAACGACTGAAATTTTGACATCAAACCGCATCGTAAGTTGACAGTCCTCCCTGCTTCAATAATGCGATGTCATGAGCCCATTTGAGGCGTTATGTCCTGAGCATTGGGCTTCTGCTCCCATATCCAAAGAAAGGCTAAAGAAAGCTGAACTAACCAAAGCGATATGCCTCTGGTAAGAACGATACAACAGTGGTCTGAAAACTTCATAGGCTGGCTATGAAGGAGTGATGCTATAGCTGCGAAATCTTTCATGCATTAATGTCAACTCTTCTTATTAATAACTGCATTGTTTATTTTCAGGTAAACTGACATCTGATTGTTCAAAGAAGACTAGTAACTATTTGCATCAATTTTCTTGTCTGTGGGGGTTGGGAAATTCCACAGTAAAGTCACTCCATCACCAATTGTGACATATCATTCGTGTGGTGTGTTTATCATGTACCCGGGACTTCAATACCATAGTTTGAACAGATATGCCAATGAATATATTATCCTAGCCTGTCATGACTAACAATGTATTCTTTCTCAGCAAATCCTGGACACCCTGATACTATGTGGTCAAAAGTTTAATTATTATTATTATTATTTGTCCTTCCATTCGGACTAGTATATACCCTCATGCATTAAATAAAGGATTCAGTTCAGTACGACAAACACCTGAAGAAATCCGGAGTATTCAACGGCCAAAACGTTCTGAGTATAACAACCATGATGAATATACTCGTCCGAATTGTCAAGCATAAAATAGTAGAAAAATTAACAAAATCAATGGAAGTCATAGAATTTCAAGGGGCCCATATATACATGTAAAATGATAAAATAATAATTTATTTGGGGACGTGGGTTATTGTGTTAATCAAAAATATGTTTCTATGGTTAATATCCTTTTGAATTTATTTATAAGGTTTGAGCATTTGCTTAACGTCAAGATATGTTGACACCATCTATAATTACATTTACATTCTGTGCTATACAATGACGCGTCATAAGTAAAAATTATGGGTTTTCCAGCTGGCATGATAGCGGATGTTGGACTGATGGAACATTCCATTTTTGAATTTTGGGGTGCAATTAACATCCCTCGATCTACGATTTCACATGTGTACCCGGAAAGCATTAGCACCCACCCTGAACAGTTCTTAATGTTCATGACCAGAGGCTGGTGGCTACAAATCTCATCCGTATTCAAACTAACTAGTGGGAACTTGCGGAAATTCTAAGTCGCAATTAGTAGAAGGACGTAGTCTATGCGAAGGACGTAGTCAATGCGAAACCGTGGGGATGTCGCAAATATGCCGTATTTCAGTTCTGAGTATGTTACGATGACCGCAACATTGGAAAATTGATAAAATTAATTAATTCATTCTGATTTAGACTGATTTTCTATCTCGTTATATACATATCTAGACATCCGCTGCTTGGTTTTTGATTGGTCCACGATCGCTTATATCCTGGTTGGGAACAGATTTTGTTTCTGATTCACTTGCTGGACTATGATGTTCGTGTCCTTATCGGGATGGTTTCTAATTGGTTGGTCGGAGTATGACTTTATGGCTAAGCGATTCTGAATACACATCTGTTTTTACAGATGGTGAAATATTGTTCTCTTTGTTATTATTTGTTTATTTTAGTTATGTTCCCATCACTACAAATATATCCTTTAGCTTAAAGCTTTTTGATTGAGGCAATCTCTTGACCACGAAATTACAATAATTCTTTGCATTTATATTGCCACCACTATCAGTATATAGGGCCCTAACATATTGCTCCACTTTTCTCCTCTTGTCTTGTAAGTCATGTTGGTCGACTATTTCCACGAGGGATCTGATATCTAGCCCAACTACCATGTCGGATTTAAAGTAGCTCTACACTTATCACTAAAATTATTGTTGAAATGTCACTTTTCATATACTTCTTTAAGCTTAGACGTTTCTCTTTGTGCTGTTTACTCAATGGTGCGTTTATGTCTTTGGCCAATGTTCTTAACATTCTATATCTTTTCTCTCTGTTTACATTCGCAACACCTGCGTCTTCAGATATTTTCTTGCTGGCCAGTCTTCTTTTCTTGATTATTGCACTTTTAATTTTCTCAATTCTCCTTTTGTGGGATTCTTTTCTTGATTTTTCTTGTTCTTATCTTACCAGTGTTTACATTTTTTTTGTTCTTTGTCCTATTTGCAATTTCAAACTTTGTGTTTCCATTACACAATAACTTTGCGTTATCTTCTTTTCCTTTCACTTTTGAGCTTATTTCTTTCTTACAACCAACAGCAATCTTTATCGATCTGAAATTAAAAAAAATTATTAACTATACGATTATTATGTATATTAATTTGCAATATGAAGATCAACTCTTTTGAGTTGCATAATGAAATCTGACTCACTCAAATAAGTTATTGTAAATTTTTCTAATAAAAGAGTACAATTTGATATTCACATGGTTTATTTATCATATGAATATATCCAGGGCTGGCCCTAGGGTTGCTGGCACCCTGGACAAGCTGAACTTTGGAGCCCTTACAAGTATAATTTTTTTTTCACAAGGGGAACAATTGAAAATGTAGAATAATGGGTTTATTACAATATACAACTTAATACGCGCCAAAGAAAACATTCATTATCCTACCTAAAACATTTTTCTAGCGTTTAGATCTGAAAATCTTTTCATGACATTTTCTACACCTATCTTCTTTACCAGATCATTTTCTATTGACAAAATAGCCAAAGGATTTAATCTATCTTGAGTCATAAACGACCTCAAGCATATTTTTATAAGCTTCTCTCTCCGGTGGCTACAGTAATGGGTATAGTAACCATACTACATAAACACTGATCACATAATATAAAGGCTCATTTAGTAGCATCTAACCCGGGCTGAGTAGCCTCATCTTCTTGATGGGCCTTCAATTTAGACAATCGGTTCTTGAGATAAAGAAAATGAGTTAATACCTTTCGGGGACAGACCACGTCAGATGGAAACATATAGTTCTGTGTTTTCCTCATTTTCCTCTTGGATCGTAACTGTAGAAACAGTGCCGACTCTTAGGTTGCTGGAACCCCGGGAAAGCTGAACATTGGCGCTTTTACAAATATATATTTTTTAAATGTTCACAAAGGGAAAAAGGGAAAATGTAGAATAACGAGTTTATTACAATATACAGCTTAATACAAACTAAAGAAAACATTCATTATCCTACGTAAAACATTTTTTTAACCTTTATATCTGCAAATCTTTTCATGACATTTTCTACACCTATCTTCTTTACCAGATCATTTTCTATTGACAAAATAGCCAAAGGATTTAATCTGTCTTGAGTCAAGGACGATCGCAAGTATAATCCCAAACACATGACATTGACTGTATAAAAACAATCTGTGATAGTCTTTGAAATTTGATGCTTATCGCTGATAAAGACTCTTCCTACGATTAAAAATAGTACGATGAAGCGCATGTCTATCCATTAATTTAAGTTCAAATAAAAAAAAAACAGTTTTTTTCCGATAAAAAATAATACGAACTTGTGTCTGTCCTTATCTTCAAGATTGGAATATCACTTTAAGGCCAAGTTCATATCTCATCTTCCTTCTCCTCATCTACCACCACCTCCTCCTCCTACAATCACAATCATTGCATGCGTTAAGCCAGCTTCCACTTCTTGTTGTCAGTCCCATAGTGTCACGTGATGAGAGAATCCCATTCAGAAAAAAGAAGTCGTGTCTGCATTGCTTATCACCACTTATGTTTACGCCCTTTTCCTCCCATTCACTTATCTAGGTGAAGTGTCATTTGAGTTCAAGTTATCTATTTTCTTTCCTTTTCTTTTTTTTAAACTAAAATATTAATTACTTCTCATTAGTAAATTTTCCATTGTGCATCTTTGTAATTTAAGTTTAGCATTAGAACATGAAGTAATTCAAATATTTCCATGTAAGAAAAAAAAAAAAAAAAAATCCCATTATTTACAATTTTAAGTTATTTTTTCACTTCATTTTGTTACTTTAAAATCGTACCACGCAGAAAGAAGTAGTTCCCAATGAGATTTAAAAGCTGGTCTGAGTATTGTAGTTTCAAATCCTACAAAGTTAATTGGGCATCCAAATCTCTATATGCTGGGGTGACATCAGACCCCCACATATTTTTTGTTGAAACTAACAACTAAACAGAAGACTAAATTTGTCCCATTGACCTCAATCTGCGATGACAATGCCACTGAGTCGTGCTGTATCATTTGTGTAAAAGCATTACTGCCATTAATTTTCAAAATAAATCAGAAAACTCCATTCTCCGTTTATTTCCCCGAAACATTAGCTACTAAAACTTTTATATAAGTCACAAGCAAAAAAAAAAAAAAAAAAAAAATAGTTTATAGCGCTTATTCCAGAAAACAGAGAGAAACGAAAAGCAAAAGAAATTAAGCATTTAAAATAAAATAAAAAAAAAATATCCAGTGAGATAATATATCTTTTTTTTCAGTGAAGTTCACTCTATACAAGGTCCAAGGTAGAGTGTTACAGAGTAAGAAGCACAGTTTATGCGGATATGTGGGTAAGATAACTGTTAATCCTATTGAACAAGTTGATATTGTAGCGAGTAGGGAAACATCCTCCTGGGAGTCGGTTCCAATTGAGCTGGATGAAGCTGCTCGAGTTGAACTTATTTCCCACTAATGAGATACAAAGGGAAATGAGGGAGATTTCTTACAATGTGCGTAGCATGGCGGGAGTCTTAGGCATGAAGGTGAGAATTGGTGGAACTAAGGAATATAGCACTTCGCATGGAAGTAACAATAGAACAGTTTGCAGGGTGAAAAATAATTTATCACTCACAAGGACGCAAAGACGCTTTTGGTCTTAATCGAGACTGGAAAGTGAAGGCTGGAAGCTCCTGCCCAGATAGATCTGGCTCTTGTAAAGGTACGGGATAGGAGGAGGAATCAGGTACTTACTGGAGCGGGTCGGGGAACCGATCATTTTTTCCAGCATCTTTAGCGATAGATCTATGTACAAGCTCCACTTGAGGTCTGGGGTGAGTAAGGCCTAAAATATATCTTATTTTATAAGAGGATCAGATAAAAAAATATAGAATCAAGAATTTGTGAAACTACTTTTAACATCTGATTTATGCTTTCACCTTTTAACATCGGACAGTCTCCACACTTTTTATTTTGTAGCGTCCAAATTTGTGGGGACATTGTAATTCATACATAAGTATTCTTTTATATACGAATGAAGTTCGAGGAAGGAACATATGCTTCCTATATGGTTTAAATAAAAATAAAGAAAATTTCTTCCCTTCTTACCAATTCAAGATGTGTTAAGCGCGGAAACAGTATCCGGACTGTTAAAAATTATTATAGAAACAACGCCATTGGATATTTCGAATACAACGATGTGCAACCTTCTGGAAACAATAACGAATGGTATATTTGTACTATGTCGAACAATGATCGCCCGCGTGGATGACATCAAGCAATTATACTTTGGCAATGAGGATCAATTTGTCAATCAGTATTTGAATCGTTTATCCTTTGGTAGTTTCGTTCGAACTATCAACCCCAAAACACAGCGATATAATAGAAGATTTCCTTTTAGGTTTTCAATAATTAAATAAGTTTAACACTGGGGAAAAATAATTACTAGTATTTACAATCAATTTTTAATTATCAGTGTTATTAAAACATTTTTCTTTATATCTGTGTTAGATTAAAAACGTTGGCATTATTTAACCCACCGCTTTATCAGTGGTAGAGAAAAATGACGTGATGTCCAGCCACCGGTTGAACAGTGGTAGAGAAAAATGACAATGCTCAGCCACCGGTTGAACCGTGGGTAAACACTTGTAATTGTATCTACCGTGAAACATTACCTAACAATTATTTGCGAATTTTGACTCCGGAGCTCAGGCAGAAGGGTTAAAATCGTCCAGGAACGAGGGATCAAAGCGTTAATATTGAACTTCTAATATAAGGTATTGGCTTCGCTTATAGTGAGTGCCTACTGTTTGCCTCCCTTTCCCTCTTTTTCTCTATCTCTCTAGAGGAGAGAGAAGTCGATAGAGAAAGAGAGAGAGAGATTGATTGATTGATTCGTTTGTAGGTTATTTAAAGCGAGAAAATATTTTTAGAGTGTAAGATTTGTATGTGGTGGGGGGTGAGATAATAGTCATGTAGTGATACAAGTCTTACTAATTAACCCGCAGCTGGACGGGGGAGAAGTGGATTCATACCTTCCTCAAGGATATTTGCGCGTAAGTGAATATAACGATTCCAAGCCATTATCCATTGCACCGCCCACACATCCAAGCTTACAGTGCCTGGTATTTTCAAGCGGTCACCCAGATAGGTATTGACCAAACTCGATGTTGCTTAACTTCGCTGATCGTACAGGAACCTGAGTTTCAACCGCAAGCATAGATTGATAGATAGATAGATAGATAGATAGATAGAGAGAGAGAGAGAGAGAGAGAGAGAGAGAGAGAGGGGGGGTAAATAGTGCATATACTTTGTCTCCAAATCACAGATGTTTTCACTGCTATTTTCCCAGTTCTGATATTCGATCCTTCATATGCCTGCCTAAAAAGACTTATAATTGGGTAACAATTACCATGAAGATTGTTACGGACATTGGAGATATTCAAAGGTAATAATATGGCCGTGAAGGTAGTGTAATGTGTATTGGCGCGGATAGTGGAATCAACGAACCGAGTCCAAATTCCGGACTATTCTTCTTCTTTTATGTGCTGTGTTCCTTCAGGGCCTAGGTGATCATGACCCTCCACCTCTTCCTTTCCCTTGTAGCTCTTAATAAGTTTTGTCTTTTTTTCTTTCTCCATGAAAACATTCATTATCCGAACTAAAACATTTTTTTAACCTTTATATCTGAAAATCTTTCCATGAAAATTTCTACACCTATCTTCTTTACAAGATCATTTTCTATTGACAAAATAGCCAAAGGATTTAATCCCTGTTGTGTCATGGACCATCGCAAGTATCTCTTTATAAGCTTTAGTTTACTAAAGCTTCTTTATTTGGTGACCAAAGTAATGGGTATAGTAAGCATTATTCTTGATGCAATCCACAGATTTGGCATCACATCCTGTAACTTAGTGTTTATGAACCTAACGACTTTTATTGGAAGCTTTTACATCTTCAGGAAATAATTCTTTTGCAATATTCTGTACAGTCACTATATCACAACCATTAATATCACTATTTTCTTGGTACCTTAAATTATCCGCCAAACATTGACGTTCTACTTTTAATTTATTTTATCGGGTAGATCTTTTAGGTTATATAAAAAACTCCCATGTGTTATTGAAACTTTGTAACTGTTCAAATCTCTCTGATAAAGAATTAATAAGAATTACATTTAATATATTTTTTAATTTCATTTTATTTATTATTTTCACATTTTTTTTTCTTTTTGTTTGAAAGATCCCAAACACATAACATAGCGGCGTGAAGGCGCCCTCGGTCTTGATGGCTCCTCGGGCGACCGCCCGAGTTGCGAGTACCTTGAGCAGGCCCTGGATAAGTGTATACTGGCCATATGAACCACGGTCAAACGTGTGCGATATGATGACAGGTTTCGATAAAAGCAGAGCATAACCTTGCAAGTGAGACCCAGTTAGAAATACCTTCGGGTCTAGTAAACCTGTCCATTCGAGGGTATGTCGAGGTGACTCCCAAATCACCTTGTCTGTGTCATCTTTCAAAAATATAAACCCGGTAATAATTCAACCTCATTTCTCCTGTTCGTGAACAGAGATGTATAATACGTCTGATCTCGAGGTACACGCCTAACTGGTTACGGTCAAACTGACAAGCAAATCTGTGTTAAAGAAGAGTATAATTACTGTTAATAATTTTAATTCACCAAGATAAACCATGGGCACCTTCAATCATTTAAGATTAGAAGCCATGAGAGGTATGCCTGGCATTCAATATAATAATAATAATTATTATTATTTTCAAGCTGCGACTTTTTAATGCTAAGATAGGTTATCAAAGTTATTCAATGATTGTACTTTACAAGAATATTTATTACTTTTTTGTTCTCGATGAACTCGATGAAAAATGCGTCTCCTTTTCTTGTCTGTCCACATTTATATTCCTTGTACGTTTCTCAGTTGCTTAGGTTCATTTTCTTCTTACTGATTGGGCTTGCGGGTTCAAATCATTATTTCTTGTTTCTTGGTTGGCTCAACGCGGAAATTATTTGATTTTTGATAATACGAAAATGTTGCAAAGGTAGCAATAAATGAGCATATCCATTCGATAAGTGTTATGGGACCTTACCCATAATAACATAATGGACTATTCCATACGTAATAAATACTGCGCCTCAAGAGGAAGCAGAGAGTTCAGTCTAAAGTCGGGCGACCGGCTGACCGGGTGATCGGTTGAACTCTCTGCCTTCGGGCGGGGAGGAACCCGAACGAGACTACGCGGAAGGGCGGAGTCTCTTTCGGGGAGGTAAACCGACCCTGAGCCCGTTTATACGGGTTCAAAGGGCATATTTTTGGCCGAGCCCACGGGCTCGGAGATCCCACGGGCTCGGAGATCCCACGGGCTCGGAGATCCCACGGGCTCGGAGATCCCACGGGCTCGGAGATCCCACGTTAAACCGGCCTTGTGCCACATGATGCCCTCGTGGGGGGGGGGTGACTAAATACCGTTCAATCTGAAATCTGGAGTGAAGTCCGTCAGAAGTCTGTCAATCAGTCAAAGCGAGCGAGTCAGTCAGTCGAGTCAGAGGCAGTCCGAACAGAGTCGC